TTGGGAATAAAAGACGCGACTGACTCTTCTACGTCAGTCGCTTATCTCGATCTTTTTCTACAACAAAAAATCGTGATAATGGGAACAGGCCCTTGGTATCGAACTAACTGCAAAATGTTTACTCCATATGTTGTGTATACAGGGTGTTGCTATCCAGAAATTGAAATTTCACAGAAGGGGAAATTTGAATCGGTACAGATATTAATGCCTTCTGCCCCGAGATTGTATTAGCACGGCCTCATTTCTCATAGCAAACTCATTTGAGTGAGTAAGTTCCTTCGGAGGAGAAAACCACAAGAAAATACCAACATGTCAACATAATCATAATCGAAAATCAAATTCATTTATGATTGTATGATTTACCGGCAAACTCACTTAAACTGTCAAAAGTTTTCAAACAAGCTATGTCTGCTGGTTTTTATTTCTGACCTCTATGCTGCATGGTGTCTGAAGGGTCATTTATTTTTTATGTAGCGAAAGTAGTCCTATATAGATTTGCCGCCATGATGAAGATCTTTACTATCTCCCAGTCTTGATCATCCAAGCAAGATATATTAATAGGTCCACATTAATAATTCTTTCGTTTTTTTCAGTAATGTTAAAGTACCATATTTCAAATACTGTTTGTTGTCTCTGGCAATATTTGAATTGAACAGTTTTGCAAAATAAAATGGTGACCCACTAAGATATAATCTGGTGCCGCAACTTTTAAAAAGCATCTAAAATATTTAGATAATTTCTTTTTAAAAATGTATACGTCAGGGATTTGATAATAAAAGCATTTATTCTTCATATAAAAATTCGTGAAAAATTAAGATAAATGTATTGATAAATATTGATATTTTTAAAATGTGAAAAAAAAACCACCGTAGTATTGCTATTACAGTATTTGTCGATTTACAAAATCATATATGGTTATTATGATGATAAAAGAAAAAAGTATATCGAAAAGCATAAGAAAAAGATTAATCAAGTTTAAGTAAACGGTGCGTCTCGGCCCCTTTTGGCATTAGCATGCCATGCCTCCTGTAGCAATGATAAAATATTGCCCAAATTTAGTTCCATTCTTAATTTGAAAGGGGATCGATTTTATGTAAACATAAACGGTACCTCTCCTAAAATCTAAAAAAAATCCTACTCCACAGGTAGTTATCAATTCTTATCTAGAACTACAAAAAGAGCGTTATTTTTGGCGCGTAATTTCTGTTTCCAGACTGCTTATGGTTAACGTTCGAATGATTGTTGGTCATCTATTGGCAGTGACGTCTTATTAGAATACCTCGAGGACGCATGACAAAGTAAATCACACATGTCTAAAGTACGTGCTTGATGTAGTTATTTGATATAGTTTTCGTTTATAGTTGAATTCAGTGGGTTTTTTTTTCATTTTGGGAGCGTCTTTCCATTGTTCTATCGTTATTTTGTGTCCAGTAGAGTCGTTTTCGGGGAGCTTTCATCTGTTTCACTGATACTCTTTTTTGCAAAAAAAGAAAAAAAAGTTTAACGTCTTCATTGATGTTGAACTTTTGTAATTAGGTTGTACTACTACACGAATGAGAATGTCTGCATCTTTCAACTCGATTCATAAATGTGTTTGACGTTAAGAGTGGGATGGAGCCAAATAGAAACATGACAACATTTGATTTTCATTAAAATCGGATAAGCGTGTACTGTTCTTGCTACAACATCCTTTCGTGTATATAAGTAATCCTTTCATGTTAAATACGGCTGCTCAGTGGAAAACAAATGGATAATCCTGCAACATATTGTGCAAAAGACGAATGCACTGAGTCTTCTCTCAGTACACATATGTCGGTTTTACACTTCACATGGACGTTTTGTTGTCTGCCCTTGTGAGTTTGACGCGAGTCATTTTGCATCAACATGACATAACAAGACAGAAAAAAGCAACCTAAATGTGTGAATTTAATCATTATAACACAGAAATAATTGAAATAAGAATTGTGCGAAGATATAGAATCTTGTCTAAATCAATTAGATATACTTACTTTTAGTACATCACTCACACAAAACGTTTTCGAACGTAAATATACAATATCAGATATTGTTGCATTTTAATCAGAAAAAAGTGTAGTTAGTTTGTGTGTTGTTGCATAAACATGCAAGTGCAATTTTTCAAATGCTTATTGTAAAAGAGTAGATTTTTAAAAAGTCTTGTGTTATTCCATAAAATTATTTTTTTAGAAAAGCTTAACAACTCAGATTAGTTATATTCCTGATGTAATAATAATATATTCATTTTCACAGGCATGTGCTTAACACGTGTGATTTTGTAATTGTTTTTCTTTGTTACAGAGAATAAAACTAACTGATACATGATTGTAACTTTTTCATGTTTGTATTTTGCCTCTCTTTATAATAACTGAATGCACAAAAACAAAGACAAAAAGGGGAAAAATCCTAATCACAATTGAGTACTTCAATTTTTATAAAAGCAAAGGCCATTCCAAATTTGCATATATGTTATATTACAGTAGCAGGAAGGATTTGTGCGTCATCTATTATACACAAAAAATCATCAACCAAAAAACAACAATTATATCGTTATAAAGACCACATTCTTTTAGAAACAACATCTAAAACATTTTAAAATCGCAATAGAATGAGTTTATCATGTGATATGCAGTAACATGATGACATTCAATTTCTTCACGTACGTGTACGTATGTGATGAATATGACATGGAAAAATATTCAAATGAAAAATATTGTAAAACTTCTATGAAATTTAACGTATTAAATCCAGCACAATTTAACAGTAAACATATCATTAAAGCCTAATGTATTAGCTTGATATGGACATGTGAAGGTCATTTGACATTTAATCTATAAATCAATATGAATACTTATCTACATAAATGGAAACCATGCAACACAAGCAAAAAAAGTAACATTAAAGTACAAACTTCAATCATATGTACAAAAATCTGACGACAATAATCCAAGCTAATTTTAAATTATTCTGTGGTTATATCATCCATCAAATAAAATAACTTTTAGCAACTTATTACAATTTCTTTAAATGTGGATTTACAATAAACAGACAAATGTAAGTCACCTGTACATTCATGTGAATAACAAATACCAACTCACAGATCTCTTCTGCTAGTGTATATATCTAATCATTCCAATTTTGAAATGAACATATTTAATATCTTACACTAAAAATGACGTTATCTTTTTATTCTTTTAGAACGGGATCAGGTATGACGAAGATCACATCTGAATAAGTATACCAACATCTATATTTTCTTCTTGCCCAAATGTACTCTTTTTATTGATACGTGTCACACATTTGATAAAGAGTTCTTTTTTGTGGGCGGTTTATTTCCAGTATTTCCCAGGATACGCAACTTTTCGTACAATAAAGCCAACGCTAAGTGAATCGACATCGATTGTCTTTTTGTTTTCTAATATACCAATACACCAATACCAAGCGAGATGTTTTTGTCTGTTTCCGCATATATATCAACCAAAGGATTTACACCATCTGAGCCCATCTATGGCCCATCTTCCCGTCCATTTTTATTGCAGTATCTTTATGAGATCAACATGACCTGAGATTGTCTTTTCCGAAAACATGGTATATCCCTATGATCCACATCATCTGAATTCTCCGTTTTTGCTTCCAAATAAGCACCTTCTATACGATTTACTTTGTGTGAATTCTTCTTTTCGTGCATTTCCGTAGCAGCATCTTCCACTTTTAATATCTCTCTCAGCTTTAATAACGGCATTTTCTTTAAAATCTGATTCACCTGAATATTTCATCTTTTCTATTTCTACATCATCCGATTTATTCTTGGCTACTTCCAAATGTCTCTATTAGATTTACATTTTCAGACATCGTCATCTTGTCTATTTCTATGGCAGTATCTTCCATGTGATTTCTGCCATCTGAGATCCTCTTTTCCCGGCTATCGCCACCATCGTCAAGATCAACTATGTCCAAAAATTCTTCCACGTGGCAGTTTCAGAATCAATATCCACTACATTACAAAGGAGATCCACCGTTTGCCGATGTTGGTGTTCTGCCATACCAGAGCCAATCTAATATACAACTGTTCTCCGGTTGTCCATGCTGGAAAAACCTTCACCGTCTTTGTTAATGAGTATCACTGGTAAGCAATGGTTGGGTATCCAGTGTCTAATAGACATATCACTTCGAGTTGTACTCCACATTAGTACAGCCATGCCCTCTATCGCATTTGTCCGAGGGTGTGTAATTCTGTCCAAGTCTTTATTTACGTTTCAATTGCCAAATTGTGGGAATGCGGAGAAGATCTTATGTAAAGATTCTTTATACACAACCAGGAATTTTAATATGTGACGTTTCGGTGACCAGTACGATCCGTACGCTGTCACCTTCCTCAGACAAATGACCAGTAAAGCATGTACACAAAGGTGTGATATGTGTACGAGTTGTCGTGGAATAGCGTAGATTTCGGACATGCTGACAAGTGCCGAAATGACTGTTAGCGAATAGTAAAACCATTCGGCTACGCTTATTTTATTACTTGGTCATAGATGTGCGAGAGTCTATGAGCCCCCTCATCTCGATTCAGAACTGCCCCGCTGCGGCGTATCCAGATGGCTTCTTTGATCTGTCGCTTCAGAAGATGGTTCTCCCTATCGAGCACCTTTGAGTTTTCCCAGTCAATCACATGGTTTTCCTGCATGGCATGGTCAGTGATTGCCGATTTGTTTATCTGGGACTCCGACTGCTTCCTCTCTGATCGGGTGAACTTCTTTTCCTCTTGTCTTTCGGTGTCTTTCCAGTGCTCCCCAAGGCGAACCCCGAATCGCCTTCCAGTCTCTCCAATATATGACGCGTCACAGTTTTTGCACCCGATCTTGTATATGCATTCTGCGACATTCTCTTTGGTTATCTTATCCTTAGGGTGGACTAGGATATTTCGAAGCGTCTTGTGGGGCTTCATGGCTGTTGCTCCATGGTTGCGGTATATCCTTTGGATGGTTTCAGATATACCCTTTATATATGGGATGACCACCTGGATTTTTGTTTTGTTTTGATCTTTCATAGGTCTTTTTCTGTTTTTTTCCTTTATTTTGACACTGTTTTTGTACCCGTTTAAGGGCCCATTCCGGATATTCACAATTTTTCATTGCTTTCATGATGTGGCTCTGCTCTTGAATTTTGTCCTGTTGTTCTGTGACTATGGTCTCACATCGATTGAGCAACTTGCGTACGACCCCTAACTTCTGATGTAAAGGGTGGTGGGATTTAAAGTTGAGGTATTGGTCTGTGTGGGTCTTTTTCCTGTAGACCAATAACTTCACTGTTCCGTCTTCTCTTCTGGCTATAAGTGTGTCTAGGAAGGGCATTCCGCAGTTGGTTTCTTCCTCACATGTAAACTTGATGTTGTTAGTGGTGTCAATAGTGTTTATGTGGTTAGTTAGATCTTTCTGTGATCCCTTCTTGATTATTTCTAAAATGTCATCGACATATCGTTTCCATAGGCTTGGCTTGCAATCTATGGGGGCAGTGGCTATTGCTTGCTGTTCTAGATGTTCCATGAACAGATTGGCGACAATAGGCGACACTGGGCTCCCCATAGCAGTTCCAAAGCGTTGCTGGTAGATGTTGCCTCGGAATGTGAAATATGTTGTGGTTAGTACAAATTCTAGCAGATCCATGATGTCCTTGATCTGGAGGTTTGTGTTTTTATGCCAGGATCTGTCTGACTCTAAGCGTTTTTGAATGATTTTCAGTGCATCATCAATGGGAGTATTGGTAAACAGAGAAACAACATCATGTGAAATAAATTGTTCATCCTCTTGGATCATGATGGTGGACATAGCTTCTGCTAGATGTTTAGAATTCCTGACATGATGTTCCGATTTCCCCACTAGCGGTCCAAGAATGTCTGCTAGTGACCTGGAAACGTTGTAACCAATGGATCCAGTGTAGTCCACAATAGGCCTCAGTGGGTTCCCCTGCTTGTGGATCTTGGGTGTGCAGTATATTCTCGGGGTGTTTTCAGCTGTGGGATACAGATATCTATACTGGCTTTCGGTGATTTTGCTCCCTTGTTTTAATCTAGTCAGAATAGAAATGAGGCGTCTTTTAAATTTGTTGGTAGGGTTGGTCTGCAGCTGTTCATATGTCTTGTTATCATGCAGCATTGTCATGACCTTCGCCTCCTAATCGTCGGTGTCCATGACGACTGTTGCCTTTCCTTTGTCAGCTGGTAATATTGTAATGGATGTGTCTCTTCCTAATTTTTGGAGTGCGACCCGTTCTTCTTTAGTCATGTTTCTCTGAGGTAATTTTGTTGATTTTAAAACCCCTATTACCTGTGATCTCAGTTGGTCAGCTTCCGCAAAGTTTAGTTTCTTGCAGGCTTGTTCCGTGGCTGCAACAAAGTCATCAACTTGGATCTTATCTGGAACGATGGCATAGTTCATACCCTTAGCGAGTAATGTTTTCTCGCTGTTGGTGAGCTCTTTGTTGGAGATATTTACCACCCATTTCTTTATCACGGAATCATTCAGGTTAGCTCCAGAGTTTTGTTGTGGTGTGTTCTCTATAAGACGGTTAAGCTTGGTCAAGTGGCGTTGTTTGGTCGTATCGAACGCTCGTTCACCTATACGCTTCATATGTTTGTTTATATCCCCTACAGTGTCATTCGATAAGCATTTGATCAGTTTGTCGGTGAGCACTGTTCGCTCGTGCATGTATGCGTCTATTTTGTTATTGACGACTCGAATTCTCTCTCTCACTAGATCTTTTTGAGCTTTATTTATAATATTACGAGCATTCACCGTATTGACTGGGCACCTAATCCTCAGACTTAATCCTTACTTTCCAACCTGACGAAAATGTTCAGTATTATCGGAGAAGATCTTCATTTGCAAGACTCTTAAAATTCCAAACAATCGCCAAATACCCATTAAGATCTGGATTTTGAAACCTTCATCACCTCATTGTGATATGCTGTGAGATTTTCCCCCTTAGCTGGACACCTGGCATGAATTCTTCCGAGTACATGACAAAAGTTTTTTCGAAAATAAAGACTTAATATTTCTTTACATTTCAGTGTTTGGTATGCTTTTCGTGAGGTAGTCATATCAGTTCAAATTCTGCATACGTTTTGCACAAGTTCAGTTCTGTAAAATATCGATGATAGTAGCCTTTGTTTATATACATAGAAATTGAACTCCCTAATGTGCGCTTCGTTATATCTATTTGAACAGTCCTTATTTAATTGCTTACAGCTTTCTTCAGCTTTCATCTTGATTTTTCTGAAATTGTTTGTTGATGTTGAAGAGATCGGTTATTAGAAGAGAGTTTAAAAGACTATAATAGCACAGAAGATTTCACCCTATAGTTTGCTTGGCCAGCAAGCCATCAACCTGTATCGCATTGCTTTTTCTAAAACCCTTTGCAGGAAGCGTCCATTGTCACAAAATGTTCTTGTCTTTTTCGGTTGGAATGTCTGCCCGACACGGCCTCATTCTAGAGAAAACTGTAACTGATCCAAAACTTTATGAAGTCTGCCTGATATGGTATCTAGCGAAAGACTTTTTTGTTCTTTGTCTTGTTCCTGTTTAATGTATGTTTAATTCCTGGGATCGGTCGCAACACGTCATCCCTTAAATAGAGATAGAACTTTTGTTTTCAGCCTCTCGGACAATATCTGATTTTTTCGTCACATCTTGCGGACATTGATTATTTTCATGGCAAATGTCTTGATCTTATAGTTCCATATTTTGTGTCCTATTTAAAATGCAGAAGAATTTGATCTTCCTGGCCTGTTACTTATTATAGATTTTGAGAAAGCCTTTGATTCTGTGTCATGGAAATTTGTTGATGAAGTTGTACTTTTTTTTTAATTTCGGACCTAGTATGAGAAAATGGATAACGACTTTGCGCAATAATTCTAAATCTGCAATAAATCAAGGTGGTAGTTTATCTCCCTTTTTCGACTTGAAACGAGGCTGTCGACAAGGTGATCCTATTTCCGCTTATTTATTCATATTATGTGCTGAAATTTTGGCCCTTAGAATCAGAAATAATAGAAAAATAAAAGGTATATCAATAGATGGGGAACCAATTTATTATCTCAATATGCAGATGATACCACAGTTATTCTTGATGGTACAGAAATATCATTAAAAGAAACAATGAAGGAGTTAGATTTTTTTGCAAAACTATCAGGATTAAGAGTAAACGAATCAAAAACTGAGGTTGTATGGATAGGAAGTAAAAGATATAGCAATGATACTTTCTTTCCTGAATGGAGACTACAATGGGGAAGTACAAAGTTCTCGGTTTTAGGGATAGACTTCGATGTAGATTTGCATAAAATAACAAAATTAAACTATGATAAAAAACTTGTGAAAATCAAAAGTATACTTAAAATGTGGAGTAGAAGACTACTTACTCCAACTGGAAGACTAACACTAATTAAAACTTTGGTAATCTCTCAACTAAATCATCTTTTTATTTCACTTCCAAATCCTGATTAAACCTTTATCAAGACTCTTAACACAGAATTATACCATTTCCTATGGAATAGTAAAGTTGATAAGGTTAAACGAGACATTGTTATTAAAGAATATTTAGATGGGGACTAAAAATGATACATATTATTTCTTTTATAAATTCACTAAAATCTGTTTGGATTCGTAGATTACATTTTGGAAAAGGCAAGTGGAGAAATATTCTTCACGCTAAATTAAACAGTAATATACTTAGTAATTGTGGAAGTGATTTAATTCATGACAACATTAAGAAAACTAAAAATTTATTTTGGAAATATGTACTAAAATCATGGCTGAAAGTAATTCAGTCTAGCAGTAGTAATAACTATGAATCCTTTTTGAAGTCTCCATTATGGTTCAATAATGATATAAAAATAGCACATAAAACTGTATTCTACAATGATTGGTATCAAAAAGGGTTAAGGATTATTAATGATATAGTTGGTGATAATGGTAAGTGTCTTTCTTATGAAGTTTTCAAGCATAAATATAACATTAGGTGCAACTTTCTAAAGTATCATGGAATCACATCAGTAATAGCAAAAGCACTACACAAATACCAACAAAATAATGAACATGTATCTATAAAATATCCTTATATTCCATTAAGTTTAGAAATTATCCTAAAAAGTAAGAAGGGAGCCAGAGACATGTATGATGTTTTAAGTAAAAATAATGTCACACCCACAGGTAAATTAAAATGGATTAACTACGATATTAATGATGACACATGGAAACAAATCTACATACTTCCTTTTAAAGTCACTAAAAATACCAAATTTCAATGGTTTCAATATAAAAGTAATCACCACATTTTGACTACCAACTCTGTGTTGTTTAAAATGGGTTTATCTGATACCTCATTATGTTCATTATGTAAAACAAATAGAGAAACAATCGAACACATTTTGTGGGATTGTCAAGAGGTGAGACGACTGTTACTTAGCTTTAAGAGACTGTCTCAGATTTTTCGTAATAACTTTATATTAAATAAGAAATCTTTCCTTTTTGGTTTCTTAAGCAATGATAAAACAAAGGATGCAGTTGACAATCTGATTAGTTTAATCATTAAATATTATATATAAAACAAAATGTCTTAAAAATAGCTTATCTATACTTGCACTTTTAAATGAGATTAAGGAAACTTATAAAATGCAAACGTATATATCGAAAAATCAAAATGAATCCGAGAAATTTAAAACCTTTTGGAGAAAATGGTCAACTCTATTAGAATCTAATCCTCACACATAATTCTCTCAAAAGCTGCTTACTTAGTAATGATAGTCAACACTCCTGTTCCTTTCCTAAAAAATATAAAAATAGATAAGTATCACATTTCTTTTAGCACTGTACTATGTTACACTGTTTTTTGTTTTGTTTTTTGTTTGTTTGTTTTATGTCTATTGTCTAGTCTATCTGTTTGATATCTCTTGTCTAGAATGCCACTTGTACAACCTATTTGTATGTCTGTCCTGCTTGTTTACCATGTTTTGTTGTTTATGTAAATATTTCTACTTGTTTGTCTGTCTATTTATATTAGGTTTACCAAAATATTTATTGTTTCTAATAACTACATGTAAGTGTCTACATGGAAGTGTGTTTGTATGATGAATGAGAGGCATCCTGCGTGATGGCACTTATCTGTACGGAGGCTGATCCCAGGGCTCCTCAACCCTGGCAGCCTCCTCCAAATTAATTGCTGAGGGAATAAATATTTTTCTAAACTTAAAAAAAAAAAAAAAAATGACCTTACTTATTTTCCTTTGACTTTGACAACTCTTCTGACTAACTAAAAGGCGCAGAACTATGATATTTGGGTTATAAATCCCAACAATGAAGCTTGACAAAGTAATTGACCTTGACTCTTATTCAAGGTTTCAGGGGTTAAATTTGTTTCAAGTTTCAAGTTTATTGGATTCTCAGATACATGAAAATGTATAACATGAGGTAAAACAATACTATATCAATAGATACGTGACAAAATGGATGGTAACTGAAAGTCGTAACGCTTCACTGTATTTTGTTAAGACTATTCAAAGTACACAGTACTTTCATAGATCAGACTGATAACAACTGTTAAAGCCTGCAAACAACTTGTTCTGAAGACCAAAAGATGCTCTAGAATGATATTTTGGTGATAGATTCCTAGAATGAAGTTTGCAAAAAAAAAAAAAAAAAAAAATGACATCAACCCTTATTCAAAGTCATTCAAGGTCACAAGGGTCAAGTTGTTAAAACCTTTAAACGACTGACTAAGCAAAAGCCGCAGAAGCAGGATATTTTGGTGGAAAGGGTAAGTTTTCATCACCATAATCGACGAAGCATCTTTGGAGGTTGTAGTGGACAGTGCAAAAAAAAAAAAAAAAAAAAACCAAATAGAGGATCCACCGGAAGATGGAACCGTTTGGCATCTATAATATAAAGATATATGAAGGTTATAGGTCAAAGCCCAATACATTTCCAAAAAAAAAAAAAAAAAAAAATTACATTAACCAATTATCGTGATCCTCGTTGTCACTGTTTAGAATTGAATTTTAGAAGTTGCTGTGGAAATTGATTCAAATTCATTACATGTGCTCACTCTGAATGTCAATGGTGTACATGCCAATATATTTGTGATATTAACACCGGTTCTGTTTTTTATT